ATAGCCCGATATCATATAGTATCAGTATCAGGATAATAATGGTAATGGTAATGATAATGATTGGTATTGCTATAAGTATTGGTATTGGTATTGATAATGATAATCGCAATGGTAATAGTATTGGTATTGGTGATGGTAACTGCAATAGTAATGGTCATGGTTATGGTAATGGTAATGGTAATGGTAATCGTAACGGTAATGGTATTGATATTGATACATGTACTGGTACTGGTACTGGTATTCATTACTTACACAATACGGAATATATTTTTTATTTTGTTTTACTTTTCTACTTACTACTTTGTATTGCATATCATTGATCTTACTATTTCAATATTTTTTTTAAACCAAATATTTATTTTTACGAAGAATACCCCGTGCAACGCACGGGTGAAGTACTAGTTACTAGAAAAAAGAATAGAGTACACGTGTAATAATGTGAAGAAAAAAAACATTTAAATATTAATATTAGTGCTGTCAATTTTTACAGTTGTTCATCATCCAACTCATACTATTCATCCCAAAAACAAATAAATAAATCATACTAGTTTTAATTTGCTAAAGTTAATTTGTATAAGATTCAAATTAAATAAAATAATATTTGCCAATAGTATATGTGTTAAATAACCTATTCATTGGGATCAACAAACTTTTATTGTCTTTTTTTTCCCTACATTAAATAGTGGACACAATCATGTCTACAGTAACAGCCCTTTCTTGATCTGTGAAAAAATATGTAAATAGCATTTACCTCCCCATGTAATTTGAACTTCATCCACATGACCCTCTATACTTTCAATATAGTACACAATCCCCTTATAATGTATAAAGTTTAAACTAAAGGGGGTAATGTGCTTATAGTAAAAGTAAAAGAGGGTTATTTGCACAAAGCTTAAACTACAGGGGGTTAAGTGTTATTTACCCAAAATTATATTAATGAAGTTTTTATTCTGAAAATTTCCCTAGCTTTTGTTAGGATCTTAATAATTTGACTTTTAATGTTATTTTCTTTATTTTAATACATTTTTTACTACTACTTTTCTATAATTAACTTATAAGTATCCACGTATATATATATATGTGTGTGTATCTACACGTTGTTGTATGTGAGAGAGAGAATAAAGAGTAAATTTAGAGGAATAGTGGGTAAGCATCTCTAACAGCTAAAGAAGCTCCAAAGCCAGCTAAGCATGGCCATAAAACAAACTCCCTAGTAAAAACATTTTCTTTTTCTAATATAATATTATTATATTAGAAAATATATTTATATATGTATATAGAGTGAGAAACAATAAACATTATACTATGCAATAAATGAAAATTCAAAATTATTATTTCTAGAGAGAGAAAGGGACATAGAAATAATAATGTGACTAGTCTTCTTCTCATCATCATCGATTACGTACCATGAAAATGTAGACAAACATTAGAGGTGCCCATTGTGCCTTTCATCTTTACCTAACTTTACTTCTCCACCCCTCATTTTCAATTTATTTTTCTATTATACCCTTTATTTTTTCAATTTGACTATTATACCCTTGGAATTTTTTTCTTTAATTTCTATTATGTTTCCCCACCGTTTCTTCTTATCTAACTTGTACACGCACGTAATAAGGGTAAGAATTTGGTTACATCCATACAAGGTGTAAAAAGGATTGTTGATTTGGGCATTTATTGGCATATTGATTGATGGGTCCACTATTTTCTGCATTATTTGGGGATGGTCCATTTATATAATTTATATGGTTACCTTGTTTTCTATTTAAAATTAAAAATAAATTGTCCTCTTAAACCTTTGAAATGATTTAATTATCTAGGGTAAATTACGGTCACCCCTGAGTGAAGGTTAAATCATGGAAAAACCACTCATGTTTGGGTTATTACAATCTCCCCTCAATTATGAATTTTCTTACATGTTCATCCTTGCGTTGTCAAATTATATCGAATATTATCGACTTTGCACCTGTTTATCACATTCAGGCTCCATAATATGAAGCAAGATAATCATAAGATGTGTTTTTTTGGCTTGCACATATCAGATTGTGGTGCATCATAAATTGTATTTTTGCACAAAATGAGTACAAACTAGAGAGCATTCTGCGGAAACTAGAGGGTAATTGTAATTAATAGAGCATTCTGCACAAGATTATGTTAAATTTGATTATATAAGACCGAACTTGTAAGAAAATTCATAGTTGAGAGGGTAATTGTAATTACTCAAATATGAAGGGTATTTTCGTAATTTGACATCATCTCAAGAAGTGGTTATAATTTACCATATTATATAATATTGTGTCACTTATTTAAATGGCTTGTCCGACGAAATCTCTCTGACGCTCAAGCTAGTCACTATAAAAATAAAACGATAAATTGAATTTTGTTGAAAAATCCAAATATTACATTAGTAAATCTAATCGTTGCTAAAACATGTTAAATATTGTATGTCTTGTGTTAATCTCAATTGGGTGAAAATATCAAAATACCGACCATGTCATATAGGCGCTAAATACTTTTATAAATTTCTTATTTTAATTGAAATTAACAACAATGAGTTGGGGACCAATCAGAAGTCGTCGTGATATATCAACTATTATAAGTCTCAATATATTTATATATAGTACATTATATTATTCCATAATTAATTAGTTTAATTACAGTATGCATTACTGGTAAGCAACAACTAGGTAAAAGTTTATGATCGAAGATACATAAAATCCCCAAATTCCCATTTATTAGGGTTAGTTGCAAAACCTAACAAAGAATTGGGCACAACTTGTACTCATAAATGACTTCGCCTAATATTACGACCTACATCTAACTAATTTTAATTCGACCCACCCTTAAAAATGACCTTTTCCGCAATTTTTAATTTTATAAATTGTGAAAAATAATAATAATAATAATAATCAAAATCATTTGATAACAAAGTTTGTCAAGTTGCAATATTTTTCCTCACTGTCGGCCCTCCCTCAATGCAACGTGGCACCACAAGTGCCATAATTTTCCCGCTCCTCTTCATTGTAATATGTAATAATTATTATTTTTTAATTAATTACTATTTCTACTTGTGATTATTAATTCAACATAATAACAATAAATTTTCAAAATGATTATTAAGTTGGAATGGATAAAGTAATTAATTTATTTAGCAAATTACAACCCGTGTTAATTGTCGTTTTCTTTTATTTACTGTATGCATATTTAGAAACTCAATATATACGTATGAAGTATAACAAAAAACAACTAAAATAACCCACGTCAAATATTAATTTTCAACTAATTATTTTTAATTAATTAAGAGAAATAACATCAAAATTAAAAATTAAAAATTAAAAATAAGTGCAATTAATGATTTATTGGAATTGTGAATACTATAAATAACAAATAATTTGGAGTAAATAATTTCGAAGGGTGTTTAGGTCAAAACACACACTCGGAATCCCGTTTACATGAGCAAACACCGGAAGGACGAAAATGGGTCGGATTAAAGAGTGAAAAAAAAGGTCAAAGAAGGAGATGTGAGGGGCAAAAAGGTAAATACAACTGGAATCCAAAACGCAGAAAAAGCAAAGATGACCTACATGGGCCGGCTTTTAACTATATTTAGCTGGACAGACAAAAACCAACTTATTATCACCATCGTCTCTATCTTCACCCATTTGCTTCATCTATACATACACTATTCTATACGTATATACCTTCATTTACCTTTTTTTTTTATTATTATTTTTTAATTTCAATATTATTTATATACAGTAAAATATATAAATAAATAACCTGGTGTGTTGTGTCTGCATGTAGAGATATTTGTTATCTTTACCCCCCCAAAAAAAAAAGAATTAAAAAAAAAAATGAAAGATTCCTCAGGGAAAAAAAAGAAAAGAATTCACATCTGTTATTAAAAATATGAGATTGACAGGCAGATCCCACCGAAATAAATTAAATAATATTCACCACATCTCAATCTTTTCATAAAACCCACAAAAAATTCACCCATCCCTTTGTGATTTTTTTTATTTTTATTTTCAGCTGGTAATTGCCACAGGAGTTTGAGGGGGGGCGGAGGAGGAGGAGGGGGGCAGCTATACAGCTAGCTGGAGGGCCGGAAAATAAAAATAAAAAAAAAAAAAGAAAAAGAAAAAACTCCGATCCTGTAGTACATGATGCTTGGTGTTTCAGGGCTTATGGGTAGCTCCGGCGACGGCGCTGCAGCGGCGGAAGCCCATGAGAGCGGCGGGGCTAGTGGTGGCAGCAGCGAGGTTGGCGCATCAAGCTCGATTCCCGGGGGTGGGGGTGGTATGGAGGAAAGCGAGAGAAGTGGCGGCGGCGGCGGCGGCGGAGGAAACCGGTGGCCGAGGCAAGAAACGTTGGCGTTGCTTAAAATTCGGTCTGAGATGGATGTTACTTTTAGAGACTCAAGTCTGAAAGGTCCATTATGGGAAGAAGTCTCCAGGTAACAATTTAAATCATTTCATTCATATTTATTACCCATATATCAAAACACACACCTACACACACTGCAGCGTTCTTGAATTTGCTGCAAAAGTTATTTCTGGATCATCATCATCATAATCAATAATTAATAATAATAATAATAATATATAATTCCCCATTGAATTGTTGTTTTTTTCATGAAAAAGGGTTCCTTTCTCTTTCAGTTCAGTTCACCGGAATTCCTGCAATTTTATATTCCGGTTTTTTTTGTTTTCTTTTTGGCACTTTGTTGCTAATTTTAGCAAATATTCAAACTTCATTTGTTTTTTTATTTCTTCAACATAAAATTCTTGATTTGTCTGCCAAAATAAAAAAAATAAAAAAATGTTTTTTGATTGTATGTGTTTATTATTGAAGAATTCCAGATTGGAAAATGATATAATTAATTAGAACACGTTATATGGTGGAGTTTTAAATTATACATATATTATGTTAATATAATAATAATTAATGGTGGGCAAGTGTTGTTGTTTATTATCAGAAAAATGGCGGAGCTCGGGTTTCAACGGAACCCGAAGAAATGCAAAGAGAAATTCGAGAACGTGTACAAGTACCACAAGCGAACAAAAGATGGCCGTTCTTCTAAATCCGACGGCGCCGGCGGCAAAACCTACCGCTTTTTCGACCAGTTGGAGGCATTGGAAAACACTACTACTACTACTCCTCCGCCGCCGCATCTCTTCACCACCGCCGCCGCGCCTCCTCCGCCACGCCCACCACCATTAATGCTGACCAGTTCCACCGCCGCCGCCGCTGCAGCTCTACCCATGCCGCCAACTGTTTCATCATCGAATATTATTCCTGCCAACATTAATAATAACCCAATAATTAATTCGTCTTCTTTCCAACCCTCCTCCGGCCAACCACCGCCATTACAGCACCATCTACCACCACCACCACAACCGCCGCCTTCTTCAAATACTATCATCCCTCCTCAAGGACATGCTTTTCAACACTCCGGCGGCCGCCCACACATGATGCCAACCCGGCAGCTGTCGGATTCGACGTCGAATTCGTCGACGTCGTCGGACGAGGATATACAGCGGCGGCGGCGAGGGAGGAAGAGAAAATGGAAGGATTTCTTCGAGAGGGTAATGAAAGACGTGATTAATAAGCAAGAAGATTTGCAGAAGAGGTTTTTGGATACACTCGAGAAACGAGAGCGTGATCGCACCGCCCGTGAGGACGCGTGGCGGCTGCAAGAAATCACCAGGCTTAACCGGGAACACGATCTTCTCGTCCAGGAGAGGTCCATCGCCGCCGCTAAAGACGCCGCCGTCATTTCTTTCCTCCAAAAGGTCACCGACCAACACAACCTCCAAATCCCAATCGCTAATATTTTCACTGCACCACCACCACCACCACCCCAAGTGCCGCCGGTGCAGATACAACCGCCGCAAATTCCTCAGCCGCCGCGTCAACAACAACCACCGTCGATGCAGCTGTCCACTATCCCACCACAACCACAACAACCAACAGCGCCGCCGACGACAAAACCTGCAGTAGCAGCTCCACCGGCGAAAATCATGGACATTGTAATAGCAGATAACGGCGGCGGCGGAGATAATTCAATGTCGTCGGCGGCAAGTTCATCACGGTGGCCGAAAGCGGAAGTGGAAGCCCTGATAAAGCTCCGAACAAATCTGGACATAAAGTACCAAGAAAACGGGCCGAAGGGCCCGCTCTGGGAGGAGATTTCATCGGCCATGGCGAAAATAGGATACAACCGGAGCTCAAAAAGATGCAAAGAGAAATGGGAAAACATAAACAAATACTTCAAGAAGGTGAAAGAGAGCAACAAGAAGAGACCCGAAGATTCCAAAACCTGCCCCTACTTCCACCAGCTCGACGCCATTTACAGAGAGAGAGGTTCCAAAACCGACGTCGTTTCGTTTCCGGGTTACGGGTTGAATCCGGATGATAACAACCCGATGATGCTGCCGCCGCCCATTATGGCCCGACCCGAACAGCAGTGGCCACTCCCGCCCGACGAGCAACGGCAGCAGCCCGATCAGTTTCAGGATAACGAGAGCGATCACGACGAAGAAGAAGACGATGGTGATGGAGATGAAGACGATGAAGAAGATGAAGCGCAGTGTTTTGAGATTGTTACCAACAAGCAGCAATCTTCAGTTACGACGACGACGAACGCAGCCGATTAGTGATAGTTGTAGAGAGAGAAAGAAGTAAGAGAGAGAAAGTAAAGGGAGAGGGGCAAAGATGCTAAAATGAAGGCAAAGGTGGAGGGAGGTGGGGGCGGAGTTGCAGAATGTGTCAGAGATGGGGGCGGAAGGGGGTCAGTAAATTCCGGTGGGGGGTGGTGGCGGTGAAAAATATTCATAAACAGGCAAAACACATGGGGGTGTTTTTTGTAATTTTATAGAGGTTAGTTTTTTGTGTTTTTTTTTTTCTTTTTTAAAGTTATTTTGTTTTTATGATTTATTTATTATTTGGAAAATAAATAAATAAAATTGAGGGAGAGTGTGAAATAGAGAGCTGCGAATCCAGAAATCAAATAATGGGGTTCTTATCTTTTACATTTTTTTTTTCTTCAATAATGGAGTGTAAATCTAAAAGTTTTTTTTTTTAATTTTAATTGTATTTTAATGATTGTTACTTATTGTCAACGTTTATATTTCAACACTATTTACACTAAATAATCGTATTTAGTTGGTTAAATTAAAATCGTGTTAGTCATGTAATTTTCAATTCTTATGAAACCCTAGTTATAGCTAATTAAATTTCAAATTTTAGGATACTTAAATTATTTAATGTAGCATGAGAGAAAGAGAGAGTATAGATAATTAATAGATGCTTAGTAGAGGTGAAACAAAATTTAATGCAACATTATTAGTTATCATATGTATTTTTTTTTAAATGCATTATGGCCCTTCGAACTTAAAATCACAGCTCCGGTAATAATCATATAGCCAGATAGAATAGAATACAGTCAATGAATATATATAACCAATTGTGAGAACAATTTAACAATGAACGATTTTTTTCATGTGAATTTTCTGAACGTTGTTTCGACTTGAATTCATCTTTCAATAGTTAAATACTTTGATACTAATGCACCTATATAATTGACTGTGTATTATTTTATTAAAAAAAGAAAAAGAATACTTTGATACTAATGCAGTTTTTATTATAAATTAATTTTATTATATAGAGAAATTGCTTTAACATTATGTATTTATTTAGTGAAACCGAGTAATAAAATCTAACATAATAAATATTTCTTCCATGCTTCCTAACCAAAAAAAATCTTGAAATTTAAATGTAATAGAGGAATTTAGAGATTTATGTGACCACAATAGTCAATTTGATTTGACTTTTAACAATTTGCCATTTTATTTGTGGGCCAACTATCGAGTGGTCAAGATTTGTTGGGAAATAAATAAATAAAATAAAATATAATAAAATAGATATTCCGTTAAATGAACGAAAACAGCATCAGAGTTTTTTGAGTACGTGACATGTAAATATGTAATGTCTTGTTACTATCACATTCAAACACTCTTATCAAGACAAACAAATAATTAAAAAACCCCCCATAAATTTAAATTGTTTTTAAAGAAGTCCTAAATATTTTGGATGATTTTTTTTATGCTGGGAACTGCAATTTAAAATTTTCTGAATAAATTGATTTTTCTATTAGTTATTAATGAATTATTGGCTGTTAAATTATTAAATAAGAAATTAAATAAAATCCTTACCAGGGGTATAATTTGTTTGTTGGGTGCACTTATTATTGAGTTGAATAAATATAAAATATGTCTCTATCATGAGTTGTGTGAATGCTGATAGGCAATTATTAATTATTTTTTTCTTATTTTTATAATTGTCTTTCGAAGATATAATTTTTTATACTTTTTGTAACGGTATACAGTCAAATCAATTTATAATTGGATTTGCGCCGTGGGATTCTGTACTTGCCACGTCACGTTTTTTGCCTCCTAATTGCAAATTGGGCTGGAAATTGGGATTATTTTAAATTCAAATTGGGCCTTAGCCAATCCAGGGTTTAAAATACCAATATAATAATTAGTTGCATTTACTGAGCTTGTTTTTTAAATTGGGGTTGAAAGTTTAAACGGACAGATCAGATCAAAATTAACACGCTCGAAAATTATAAAATTAAATTGTTCCAAAAGAAAAAAACTTGTTCCAAACTTCAAATCTTTTTGATCGAAATCGAAATAATTTTAAATTATCATTTATTTCAGTTAACTATTTGTCGATACAAGCCATGATTATTTATTTCAATTATATATATATCAACATCTGACAATAAAAGAATAGAACAATCGAAAAGATCAAGCCTCGTAAGTTGTTTCGTAGTCACTTTACTTATTTTCACTTGACATTCAAAAGTAACGGTGAAAATTGAAACGAAAATTTCGAATGACACTTATTCCAATCCGAACATTTTCAGCTTTAAAACAATATTTTTTATTCCAATTTTTTTAATTTTTAATGAAATTGGTAATTAGATTTCGATTTCGAATCCAATATACACTAATATATATACTAGATGATTTTTTTTTTATCCTAATTAAATAAAAACTAGTCTTCAAACTTTTTATTCAATGTTAGTAGGAAATAAATAATAATAATAAGGGGTCATTAGCAATAAACCCCTCATATAGATAATAAATGGTGATATGTCCACTCCTTAAATCTTTCTTTGTGATAACCCCTAGAATTTGTATTTCCAATTCTACCCTTATGTCAATTAGCATAATTAGTCTCAATTATTCCTTTTTTCTCTCTTTCCATAACAATAATCTAATTCCTAAAAAATTGCTTCCAAATTCCTATAAATTTGCTACCAAATAAAAAAAAAATGATTTATTTTTTATTATTTTCGGATTTTATAGTCATTTTTTAATTTATTTTTATTTTTTAATATTTTTACTAATAAAAAATATTTTTTTTAATTTTTTTTATACAAAAAATTGAATTTTTTTTCTCGACAGATTTACAACTCCGAATATGACTATAGTTGAATATGGCTATTATGTGACTACGCTATTATGTGACTACGCTGTGTATAATAGTGTAATTAACATATTGTAGAAGCATAATTAGTGTAATTAACATATTGTAGAAGCATAATTATTAAGGTAACAGTAAGAATATGACTATTATGTGAATGTGACTGTGCTTTGTAAAACATTATAATCAACAGACAGTAGAATCATGATTCTTAACAAAAACAGGAAAAATATGACTATTATGTGACTACGGGTTGTATAACAATGACTGAACATGACGGTGGGAATATGACTATTATGTGACTAGGTTCTGCGTAATGTGACTACAAGTAATCAGCACTTGAAAAAACTTGCAATAGCAAAATACATTGCAAAAAGAAAAAAAATGACTAAAAAAAACAAAAATAACTAATGTGATCTCCCATCGAACATGTTTTTTTGTTGCAGTATCCAACTCAGTTGCACCGACTGCAATTAATCTTTCGTTTGATCTTCTCTGTTAAATATGACTACAACGTTAAACATATGTAGCACTACAAAAAAAAAGGAGGAGGCGGCGGCAACGAACGGCGACGGTGATAGTTGTGTACAAATCTAACCCGAAACCCGAACAACATGAAACACAAAAAAAAAATATAAATCACAACTCTTATCATGCAAGTCAATCCACAACTGTCAATGCATACAAATGCATAGATACATGCTCTAGGATAAGAAAAAACAAAAACTCACAAAAATTAATAAAATGCATGATAATTCAAATCTACGCATTATAACAAACCAAATTATAACCATTGCGGTTTTACAGCAATGCCATTATAATTTTCATGCTATTATAACCATTTTACTAAAGAAAAATTAAAATAAAATAAAATAATATAACTAAAAATTCAGATCCATAACAAGTTTTATAGCAAATTAATTCGAGAAAAAAAATTATACCGATTAATTTGTAGATATTCAGCAATTGCGGTTTTGGCAAAGGACGACGGCGGCGATTTCGACGGAGGGCGGCGGCTGTGGTGAGAACATGGGCGGCGTGGGGTAATTTCTAGATCTCCATCGGTGTCCTGCCGCTAGTCCTTTGAATCCTTAACCATCTGTGATTGTCTATTCCTGCCGCCGGAATCTTCTGTTGCCTCCTCGATTTTTTAGTGGTGGAAATATTAGATCTAGGATTTGGGAGATGAAGAACAGAGAAAAGAGAAAAAAAAGCAGATGAGAACGAGAATGACGATAGGGAGCGGAAGAAAAAGAATTAGGATTTAGGGTTATTGTGTTTGAGGGTACTTTTGTCTTATCACATAGGTTTTTTCTAGGGGGGTCTCACAAATTAAAACTGAAATTTGGGTGTAGACAAAAGTCTTTAAAGTCAATTGGGTTTAATTCAATATATTTCCCATATGAGGGGGCTATTGCATATTTCCCCTAATAATAAATAAATAAATAAAAAGCCTAAAATTAAGGAGTAACCGAGGAATATTTGGTGATGTTCAACACGAATTAGGACTCCGGCTACAGAAAATCTAGAAGATGTGAAAGATTGTACCTTTATAATGAACCGATACGTACAGAACAAACCCTTTCTGTATTAATTTCTGATTTAATTTTTTTCCATATAGAGAGAATTAAACGGAAATCTCTTCTCTCATAACCCAAAAAGCACAAACATCGATTTATTCCGCCGCCGCCGCCGCCACCGCTCTTCTTCTTCCTCGGTGGGTTACTCTACGGATTTTTTTACTCTTTCTTCCTCAATTAATTTCCCGCTTCTCGAGGGTTTAAAAGTTTCGTTGTTAATATATTAGATTCTTCTAATCTGGATTCACGAATTTCATCTTCTCCAGCCAATTAGGGATTTCATCTTACATTACTTTTACTTTGTTGAAACAGCAAATTGCAGTGATTGAACTACAGTCAAGGCCAAATTACCCTTCCTACGGGAGAATGAGTGCTCCTTCTTCACCGGTATGAATTTTTTTCTCTTTTTACATGTTATTTACAGAGCTTGATTATGATATAATGGGGATTTTTATTTATTTATTTATTTATAATTATCATGTAGGAAACAATATGTTTGCAGTGTGGCGATAGAGGATTCGATAATGCGTTTGTATACTGCGTAAAATGCCTAGAAGTTGCTGTGCATCGGTTCGAACCTTTTGTGTTATTCGAACAATTTTTTTTTTTTAATTTTTTTTCGAGTTGAGTATATTAAATGGTAGTGAATCTCTCTCGTTGTTTTTCAGCTACTGCCTGGATGTAATACCGAAAACAACCGATGAATTCGTTCGATGGGTTTGTGAAGACTGTGACGTGGAATTCCAAAATCCGCCAGTTGTCGGCAAACACGACTCCGGTCAGTGCCACTCTGTAGACCGTACGTCAGACCATATTATAGGTCAATCCGAAGTTGGAACAACTGACGTGGCATTCCAAAATCCGCCAGCTGTCGTTAAACACGACTCCGGTCAATGCCACTCTGTAGACCGTACGTCAGACTGTATTATAGGTCAATCCGAAGTTGGAACAACTGAAAATGATTCGGTTGCAGTTAATACACACACTCTACCTATGGAACTCGACATTCTTTATTCAGCATCTGAAAGAAAACCAATGTGAAATTAACGCAACAAACATTGACGACGTAAT